CAGTGATCTCTGGCTCCGCTGAATGGCCGCAGCGATCTCTGGCTCCGCTGAATGGCCGCAGCGATCGCAGACAGCCGGCGATTCACCATTGGGGCTGAACGACGCACTCAGCTGCTGAAGCCGTATGGCGTCGCCGTCGCCTGCCTCTCACCCTGGCAAGAGGGGCGGGCACCGCGGGGAATCGAACCCCGCACCTCTGGTTTCCCAAGCGTGCAGTGGTTAATGCATGCGCGTTAAGCATAACGCTGTCGGCGCCCTAGACAGCCTGTAGGAGCGGTACTTATAAAGACATGAATGCTTGAACTTCAAGCCCGCCGCCATTGCCTGCAGCTTCCCAATCTGCCCTGATATCTGTACCACGCGAAGGCGTTACAAGGTACAGAAGCGGCTACGTCAGGTTCGGATTTCAAGATCAGGGTCGGAGGTCCAACGTCGTGAGATTCTGGCGCATTTGCCATCAGCTGACACTTCACATAAATGCACAGCGATTACGTGTCATGGGTGTAAGCGGTGAGTGTAAGAGATCAAAGTGTAGTAAAAACAGCGGAAGTGATAGGAGCTAAAACATATAAACGCATGCATGCCTGCATAAACAGCATAAGAGGACAAAAATCGAACCAAAAAATGACTTGGCAGCGCGATAAAAACTTGTCAAATCCAGCTGTCCAACAGCTATCGGCAACTGGTCCATGAGCACGCGGCATCGAAGACCTGCGGCTGTCTCGTCAAATGCCGGGGACTATTTTAACATACTTACGGGGTGGGGTGGGGGGGGGGGGGGGCAATCGCTTCTGGTGACCACCAGATCCCACAGGAAAAGATTGATTTGCCCGCAGCTCACGCCCGAACAGGTCCTTGAAACGGTTCAGGTTCAGGGTCAGGTTCGGGTGGAGATCGAAGTCGCGGTGGATGCATTCATTCTGTATGGGGCCGCGGACTCTGCGGTGAGCCGACTGCTCTTGGATAGGGAAAGAAGAAAACCAAAAGTGAGGGAGAGGCCCGTTTTGAAACATCAGACTCGTCAGACAAGATTGGTCAGACAGGATGGATCAGACAAGTAGACAGGGCCATAAAATGTCTCGCGTGCCGTAAAATAACGTCGCGTTTTCCCCGTCTAATGTGCATGTGACCACATGAGTCAGCTGAAATGCAGTTGGCGTAGATGCGGGCCAAAATGTGGGCGAGGATATGACAGGTAACGCATGCTTGAGAACACAGATGCTACCCATGCTTGTGACTACAGGTGTTGTTCATGCTTGTTGCAGTTCTGCTGAGTTCCATTCTGACTGGCTCAACATCATGAACAGCAAGCAAGATAAGACTGACGACCGCGTAAAAATATGGCAAACCCAGCCGGCGAGTCAATGTAAAATGTAAAGCGCTGACCTTAACAAATGTGACGTCACGCAAATGATTTCAAGCGGCCACGTTCAAATGGCCAGAGCCCTGGCGATGTGAAGTGCCGAAAGCGTGACAGCAACAGCGGTGCCGTTTCCGGCGTAAAGACCCCGCGTGACGACCAATCGGGCGCGGCCACGCCCACCGTCGGGTCAGCAGGTCAGGTTTTTGCCCCGGGGCGGTATGTGGCCATTGTCACGCAGGTCGCCGCCGCCGCCGCTGTCCACCACGCCCGGCTCAGGCAGCGCGCGGGGGGGGGGGGCAAAAACCCCCTCCCGAGCCGCGGCTGGCCCTGCTCCTCGAGCTGTTGCGGTGGGTTGGGGCCGGCCACTGCGCGTTAGTCCACGGTACAAACGTGACGTACGTGATAATTGCGTCACAACCGCCCCGCTGCACTGGCGGCATCCCACAGCTACCAGTGGAGCTGGCTCGAAATCGTTGAGCCCCAGAGGCAGTGAATGACAATCATCACCCTGTGCGCTGCTGCGTCGAAAGCTGCTTTTGAGACCTTAAGCTCGGTTCACGCTGACTCCGTAACGGCTTCGTAACGCCTCCGGGGAGGAGCCCGTTCGCGGTGCTGGGAGGAGCCTAAAAACCGCGCTTGCGCAGAAGCGTTGGTAACCCCTCGGCGCCTCCGCAACAGTGCGGACCGGGTGTGAACCGGAGTATCGATGCCGGACTGCGCACCGATGGTCGCAGATGCGCCGTGGGAATATTTCAAGTTCAAACGCGCATATGAATGAGCTGAAGCATTTTTATTTCTAATAAGATCACAGGGCTCGTTGTCAGCAAAATATGCAGTGTTGCATGAGGAGATTGTTCGGACTTTTCCATGCTGGCGTGCGGCTTATGCTTACATTCCACATGAAATGTGCGATCGCTCTGATATTATGAACTTTCCCTCCAACCCATGTTGTAACAATGGCTCTTATGACCATGCCCTTCTACCACGGTTCTCCTCCTCGGCTTCCAAACATGCCAGGAGAAGCAAATCTTCCTCGGCAATAGTTCACACCAGAAAGTACTCCTTTTTCATGTCCTTTACACGTCCAAGGTCACGAAAATCCCATTCGTCTTCCTCCAATTCAATAGAATTTCCAACGCGCTCCGTAACCTGCGAAGTCGCTACGGAGGAGGCCAGATCGTCCGGAGCTCACCAGGCTTTTAGCTTCGGTTGGACTCCTTGGCGCAGAGACATTTGCCAGAGATTTCTGCCTTCCTGTGATCCGTAACCATTACGGAGCTGGTGTGAACCGCGCTTGACAGTGAAAGTTCTCATGGAACATGTGAAAATGTGACACGTGACATGTGAAAATGTGAAATGTGACACGATCTCAGCAAGGAGACATTTACCTACACAGCCTCATCTGAGGCCAGCTTGTCGCTCGATGAGACAATGAGCAGGGACGAGCCCCTTTCGAACGCTTCGAAAATTGTAAGAACTTCTCAGTGTGCTGCCAGCGACACCCGATAATTTTCATAAATTTCACAAGGCCCCCAGCGTGTCACCAGCAGCGACATGTAAAACCTGCAACATAAATGATGTCCATTTCGAGGCTCGGTTATGACGGGAATGTTGTTATGGACGCTTTTAAGTTAACATAACAATTCGATGATAGTTAACGATTTGTTAGAGTAGTCTGCGCATACCGGACTGATTTAGCTGATGGATATCTGAGAAGGCTGGCAGTGTTTGGGGTCTAGAAAACAACTTCCGAGAAAAAAGCTTTTCGATATTTCTGGAAAATTAAAGTTGCACTAGAAGAGATATCGTTGCTCCGCGCCACATCAGGGCGGTGGCCATTCTAACGATAGCCAATGAGACACCTCAGGGACGTTATAAACCACCAATCACCATTCTCAGTACCAAACCCGGTGTTCAGCCCCTCCCCTTCCCTGGGCGCTGGGAGGCGAGGCTAAGGGAGCTCGAATGGTCTAATGACCCTCCCATAAATCCCTTACTGGACATGCTTCTCAAATGCTACCGGGAAGCGTTTTGACCACGGTAGGCTTGTGGGTTCATTCCAGGTGTGATATCCGAACTAAATGAAGCATTCAAAACACAGCGCGACTTCATGCGTCGCCTTATATATTGTGTGACGTTGCTGGGTCTTTACGACGCCCTCTGCTGTTGAGGGTATATGGCGTCGTCCGCCTTTTATCCTGGCAGGAAAGGCGGGCACCACGGGGAATCGGACCCCGTACCTCTGGTTTCAAGATAAGAGAGACCCAGGAAATATTGACATTATCAGGTTATGTCCGGCCACGGAGTTATACATACATATATATATATATATATATATATATATATATATATATATATATATATATATATATATCAGGTTATATCCATCCAAACAAGCACTCAATTTCAGATGTATTTCTCATAAAACATGCGAGTACATTCACATTCACATTTGGCACACTCAGTGTCACCCAGCCTTTGTACTCAATCCCTTAACGCGGAGATCACACAAGGCAATGACCTTCTGCTGCAGAAACCAGGACGGCACGAACTCATCACAGGCACCTCGATGATCATGGACAATGTACACGAACAACAACACCGCGTTGTGCGAACATGATAGGCAGCTGTTGGCGCTGCTATACCATAAAGCTCTCAGCGAATAGATTTACAGCGTCATATAAATAATTCACCTCACTATACACAAAACAACGTGGTACTGCTGTGACGTCAGAGCCGCGACAAAGCGAAAGGCCCACGCGTCACTGCTCACCGCGAACCTTGACGCAGCTATCAGACGCGTTCCGCGCCGCGCCTCTGACGTCACAGCGGCGATCAACTCGCCTGGCGGCCGGTGGCAGCGCCACAGTCGGCTGTCTTGGGCCGGAAGCGAGCCATGTACGCCTGGCAGTCTGGGCAGTACGTCCGGCCTGGCAGCCTCGCACGCTGGCTGCACAGTTCACACAGGCCGTCGCCGAGCGGCGCCACCGTCGCCACGCGCCCCGTGACGTCACTTGCCTGTCGCACTACACGATTGGCTGGCGGCTGGCGGCCTGTCGGCGGCAGTTTGTAGTCACGAGGCGGAGGCGGGATGCTGATACGGCGGCAAAGGCCGCGCTGGGCCGCCGTTCATATGATATGGTGTTGTCGGGCGCTGGTTGGTCGACCGCGGTGGAGGCCCGCCCATACCCGGCTGCTGATTGGTCGGTCGCTGTCCGCCGTGGCCGCCATTGGCAGATGCATTACCGTTGGGTAGCGCCTGATTGGTGTGCTGACCGTAGACCGTGTGGTAGTACTGCTGGCCATTAACCGGTGTGGGACTGCCGGCAAAGCTGTGGGAGCCAGCGTGGTTTCCCGCCACCCCATTGGGAGCCATCGCATACCCCGCGTGCCCATTCAGCACTGGCGAATGGGTCCCCTGGCGGTTCGCCGGCCGCTGATTGGCCGATACGCCATTCCCCATCGCATGGTTGTTCGCCGCACCGACCCTCGAGCCCTGATTGACTGCCCCACCACCACCCGCCCCATAATTGGTCGGCAGCGCAGGCCGAGGCTCCGTCTCCGGCGCTGCGCTATGCACCATCGCGTTCACATGATGCACGTGCGCCGTCGCTGGAGCCGGTGACCTTCGTCCGGCGGGGGTGGCCGTCTCCTTGGCCCCCAGAATACGCTGCAGAATGGGGTTCGGCAGGTACGAGTCGTCCTGTTCATCCTCGGCGGTCGCCACCAGCGTCACCTGGTCGCAGAACGTGACGCTCTTCTTCATCTTTCTGCGCTCGCCGCCGCCGCCGCTGTCGGCCGACACGTTCAGGTCGGCGGACTCGTCCGCCTGCCTCCGGCCGCGCCGCACGTGCTGCCCAGACTGCGCCGAGAACAGCAGCTGGTTGCTCTGCTTGGCGCACCCGAACGTCGGCTGTCGCGATGACGTCGCCGTGCCACTGACGTCACCGTCCGTGACGTCAGTGTCCGGCAGCGGCCGGCCGGCCTCCACCATGTCGTTCAGCCGCTGCACAGGGCTGCGCGCCGCCTCCGCGTGGTTCGAAGCCGGGTCAGTGCGGTTAGAGACGGAGTCAAAGCGGTTAGAAGCGGGGTCGAAGCGGTTAGACGCCGAGTCGAAGCGGTTAGAAACGGGATCGCAGCGTTGCGAAGTGGGATCAAATCGATTCAAAGCGGGATCAAATCGACCGGAGGAGGGATCGAGGCGGTTTGATGGGGACTCGGGAGTATTCGAGACAGACTCGAAGCGACCGGCCAGGTCACGCACGGAGCGGACCGAGCCGCGCTTCGCCTCGTCCGACGGGTCGCTTCGCAGCCGCCTCGACGCGAAGCCCGAGTCGGCGGCAAGCTCGTTGGGCGAGGCAGCAGCCTCCATGGGTGTCTGCTGCGAACTGCCGCTGTTGGACGGGCGCTGCTGCTGTTGTTGATGTTGCAGCTGCTGGTGATGGTGCTGCTGCTGCTGCTGCTGCTGTTGCTGCTGCTGTTGCTGCTGGTGCTGCTGCTGTGGCGGGTTGTGATACTGCGAATACTGCTGGTGGTACTGCTGGTACTGCTGTTGGGATTGGAGCTGCTGTTGCTGCTGATGCAACATGGCAAGCTGCTGCTGCTGCTGCTGGTGCTGCTGCTGCTGCTGTGGCTGCTGCTCGTGCTGCTGCTGATGCAATTGCTGCTGTTGTTGTACCTGATGATGCGCCTGCTGGTGGTGCTGTTGGATCTGCTGTTGATGGTGTTGGCTCTGGTGCTGCGAATACTGGTAGTGCTGCTGGTGCGCTTGGCTCTGCTGCTGCAGCAGCTGCTGCTGTTGCTGCTGGTACTGCTGATGCTGCTGCGGCTGCTGCATCTCCGGGTGGTGGTAGGCAGGTGGATAGGCCGGCGCGTCCTTGCCTGGGGCACCGTGCTCTCCCAGCTCCCTCAGCTCGGCCGTCGGCTCCACGCGGCTTAGGCTCAGCTCCAGCTCCGCCTCTGTTGGCGGCGGTGGCAGCTCGTCATCCAGCGCCAGCTCAGCCAGTGCCTCAGCCGGCGGCGGCGGCGGCAGCGGCATGTCCAGGGACGCCTGCCGCGAGTGCGCCGGCGCCGGCTCCGGCATCACGAACGGCCGCTCTTCCACGGGCGTGTGCAGCGTCAGCCGCTCGGCGCCGTCGCCCTCGCTCCAGCTGAGGTTGAGCGCCGAGCCCGCCGAGCCCGCCGAACCCGCCGAGCCCGGCGCGCTCGGCGCCGCCGGCGAGCGCCGGTGGCTCAGGTGGTTCAGGTACGCCCTAGCCGGCGACTCGCCGAGTGGCGGCGCCACCGTCGCGCGCGATGGGGACTCCGCCTCGAACGACGCGTCCCCGCCGCTGAGCCGCGAGTCCTTGCGCTGCGGCACCGGCGGTGGCACCTTCGTCAGGCCGACGCTGCCGTGGAACGACTTGCGCATCAGCTTGCTACGCTGCAGGTTCGGGTTGGCGTAGTCGGTGGGGCCCTCGGAGAGGTAGCCGCTGCCCGGGTCGGCGGTCGGCGTGGTGGGCCGCGCGATGTCCTGGTTGTAGCTGACCTGGCTCACCGGGTCCGTCAGGTCGGGAAGACTGCGGTTCTTCCTGCGGATGAGGCCGCCGCCCAGCAGCTTCATGCGGATCTTGTGCTGCTTCCTGCCCGGCGCCTTCTCCTTCTTGCCGGGCTCCGGCGGCGGCGGCGGCGGCAGCGGTGGCGGCCGCGCCTCCTCCGTCCTGTCGCCCTCGCTTCGGCGCTTCTCTCGGCGCGGCTTGTTCACCTGCGCGTACAGCTGCTCCACGGCGGCGGGCGGCTCGTCGCCACGCCGCCGGCCGGCCGCCGCCGGCGCCGGCGCCTCCTTGGCGCCCCGGCGACGCGGCAGCGTGGCGTACAGCTGGATCTGCGTGTGGTCGGCGGCGGCGGGGTCCAGCTCGCGCGACGGCTGCCTGGAGTGGGGCGTGCGACGGCCGCCCGAGTCGCGCGACGACTGCCGGGAGTGTCGCCCCTCGGCGGCGCCGTCTGTGGAGGGAGGGAGACGGGGGCGTCAGGCGGCGCTGGGTGGCAGATGGCCTCTGCTGGGACACGTGGGCGGGTCACGGGAGAGGAGGCCGAGCGCGAACCCCGCTCCAGCCTCCAGTCCAGCCTCCGACACCGCAGCTAAACACGGCACCCCCAGTCCAGCCTCTGGCACCGTGACCAAACGCGGTGCCCTCAGTCCAACCTCCGAAACCGCAGCTAAACATGACGCACCAGCCTCAGACACTGTGGCCAAACACGACGCCCCAGTCCAGCCTCCGACACCGCAGCCAAACATGACGGCCTAGTCCAGCCTCTGACCTGTTTTCTTGGCGCCACTGACAATAGCGATCCTCCTCTGCAGGCCGCTACAGCGCAGCAGGCAGTCGTTGTGGTTGCGTTTGGAGCGTGTCAGCATCTCGGCCGTGTTGTACGGCGCGTCCAGGGCGCGCTTGGACACGCGCACCGCCTCCCGGCACAGCTCCAGTGCGCGGGGCAGGTCATCTGCCGCGCAGGGAGGGGGGGGGGGGGTGTCAGCCATCTGACAGCGCCGCCGAATCAGGAGCACGGAGTCCGGCGCCAGGATAGCGTGGCATGCTCAGCGACAATTTCGAACTGTGTCGTGAGGGCAACGATTGCGGGTCATGGAAGGACTACCGGCTAGTTGGCGGCAAACATAGCCGAACTCGGCGGAGCGGTGGCGAGCGAAGGAATGTGATGACGGTGATTGCCTGGGCCTTCGGCTGTGGCGCAGCACTCCAAAGAAACTCGGCAATGAATGCTCACTCGTGGGGAGAAACGTCCCAATCTGGACTATTGTCGACTTGATACTGAAACCATGCTTTCTAGGAGGAAACCGCGACCCCGAGTCGGCGAGCCAGACTCTGACTCAGGCAAACTGGACTCCCATTCTGGCGTTCTGCGACTCGGACTCGGACTCACTTCTCTCGTCGGCCGTCTGGGCCTCTTGCAGCAGAAGCTCGGTCTCTTTGAGGAGTCGCTTCACCTCGCTGGTGGCGCCATCCGACGGCGACATGCCGAATGGCTGGTTCTCCGGAATTCCGCTCAGCTGCTGTGGATGGAGTTACAAGGTCAGGCCAGGTCGTGATGGCGTCGCTAACCAGAGGGCAGAGATGTTATGTCTCAGCGTGGATACGGTGGCGAAATAAGTCGCCGGTTTGTCACGTCCGATAATGATATCAGCACCCAACTTCCCTTCATAATCATTATCCCCTTGCAACTCATGCGCACAAAAACTTAACCTCAATACTATACAAAAGGGTCCAAAACTACCTCTCTTCAGCTGTGAGGTGAGCATTCTGGCTGAACCAGCTACCGCAAGTCAAACCGCCAGCAATCCCCGGAGCTATCACGGCGTGTACTGTCTCAAGAAAAACACCGAGGTCCTCCGATCCACGCGTACAGCCGCAGCCCAGATCAGCCCAGCTCCGGCGCGCCCACCTGGGTGCTGAGCTTCAGCAGCGGCGGCACCGGGTAGCTGTCGTTGGAGCTGAGTGAGTTGCTGTCGTAGCCGGCGTCGGCCAGCCCGGCTGGGTCGGTGCGGCCTGGTGAGGCCGGTGGACGGCCGGCGGCCGTCAGCGGTGGCGGCGCCGGTCGGCCCGTCACCACACGTCTGCCGGCGGAGCCAGAGGCGGCGTCAGGCACGCATTATGGGGAGGGACAGAGGCGGAGTCAGGCACGCATTACGGGGGGGGGGGGGACAGAGGTGAAGTCAGTTACGCATCATCACGGGGGAGGGCAGGGGCAGAGTCAGGTTCTTGCGTGCGCGGCATAGACGCGGCCGATAGTGATACCGAGTACCGCGGTACACCAGGAGGAGATACGTAGTATAGTGGTGAAACCCGTCGGAGCACACGCACGTGGTCCATATAGACGAGGCCCACGCGGCAGAGCAGGGTAAAAGTCATCGTTCACGAAGCTCTTTGAAAGTCGAAAAGAAACAGAAAACCAATGCCCTCGCCTTCGTCGAGCTCCATCGACTGGTGAACGTTGCCAACACAACAGAAACGGACATGGATGTAACCACTGGCGCAAAGGGCAAACTTAACTACAATTTTCAAAAAAGTGGCATTTGTTCCCTACCATTTTGCCCTACAATGCACATAAAAAACATCCCATTTAAAATGTCATTATCGGGACTGCCTGCTGTTTTCAGATTCCAGTTGGCCCCCAACCCTGATCTGTCCCCCAATTTGGAAGTGGCTACACCTATAGAAAAAAACATCAGAGGGGGTGGGAAGCGGGCAGTACTTCTCACAGGCGAGTCGCCAGCCAACAGTGGGCGCCACCTGCGCCACCGTCGCTAGCAGGGGCGTCACTCACGTGAACATGGCGATGGCTGGGTGGCCGCTCTCGTTGGAGCCAGAGCTGGTGGAGCTGGCCGAGTTCCTGTCGCCCGACCAGTTCCCAGAGTCGCGCCGTCTGCCGAGGCGGCGACCCGCCAGTCAGACACGAGCGACGCAGAGGCTACCCGACAGTCAGACACGAGCGGCGCAGCGGCGATCCGACAGTCAGACACGAGCCGGCGCAGCGGCGATCCGACAGTCAGACACGAGCGGCACAGAGGCAGCCATCAATGAAACACGAGCAACGACTGCGGTGGTCGCGGCGGCACGGTCGCCATAATGTGGCCGGAAGGCAGCCCACACAGCGAACCGGGCCGGCGTGTGAGGCAGTATGGGACCTCAAAGCGATGCTCATGTCGGAAATGCACGGTCCGTGAAGAGGCGATGTGAGTCCCTTACCCCCGTAGAAATATTCTCACCCCGAACACTTTCCCATGTTTTAACCGGGAACACCTGGGCTTGGCACCACCCACCCGAGCATGGTGATAGGACTACTCCGCCCATCCAAAACCCAAGCGCGGTTATCCCACAGACGCTATCGTAACCGACAGGTCTCACCTGCGCTGCCCGTTCTCCGGACGCCTCTGCTCGGCCGGGTCCGTCTTCTGTCGCCCCCCGGGACGACCCTCGCTGACCCCCGGGTCAGGGAAGCTGGGCAGCGCCGGCGTCGGCGGCTCGCCCTCCCCAGTCGACCGCAGCCGCTGATACCGGTTCATCAGGCTGGAGCGCGAGCCCTCGGGCTCGGCCTGCGACAAGGACATCTGGTGAGCGCCGGCGAAGCTGTAGTGCAGTCGTCGCCCACCGTGGCGTGCATGGCTCCACAGACGAGCGCGGTATGGCTTGTCGAGCGCGGCACACCTTGGAATAGACAGTCTGGTAGCACAAATCAAGCGATCCAATTCAGGCAAAGCACTGGGAGAGAGTGCCTAAAGCTTGATATTAGGAGCTCTGCAAAAGAGTCGTCATTACCGCCAAACTCAGCAGAAAACAGATACCTACCGTTCGCGAGGCGTCATTAGCACGTCTCCGCGAACCCCAACCAGCCTCGCCCCGTGCCCCGTCACGCACCTGCTCAAACAGCGAGTCGAACGCTCCGATGTTCTGGTAGTCGCGGTAGGCGTCGCGCGCCGCCGCCTCGTGCCGGCCGGGGCTGGGCGTGACCGCCCGGCGCGGCGCCGCCAGGCCGGCGTCGCCCTCCGGGTTCGGCGTGCGCGAGCGCCGCGCCGGCCGCGGCAGCGAGCCGTACACCGGCGGCGGCGGCGCCGGCGTCGGCGCCGGCGTCACGAAAGTGCGCGCGAGCGGCGCCGCGTCGGTCGGCACCGGCTGGCCGGCCGGGTTCGAGTAGAGCAGCAGCAGCGGCTGGAAGTGCCCGCGCCGGCACTTGTCGACGACGCTGCGCCAGTGCGGCCCGATCTCGCGCACGGACGCATCGTCGAAGTAGATCCACACCTGGTGCTTGGTGTGGTAGAAGAAGGTGGAGTAGTGCTTGCCGTAGTAGGTGACGACGCCGACCAGCCGATGCTCGGTGGCGCCAGCCCAGCGCGAGTCCATCACCGAGTGGAACACCTGGCTCAGGCGCAGCCACGTGCCCACCGTCGAGAGCACGTGCATGATGTGGTCCAGCTGGGGCCGCTCCGAGTCCCAGACGATGCCGACGGAGACGATGTCGGGCCGGTTCATCAGCGTGCGGCAGATCTGGATGCGCGCGCCGCACGCGCTCTGGCGACGGGGGGGGGGGAGGAGGCGTCAGCGGCAAGCGGCGGCATCCACACTCTGAGCCGTGGGGACGCGGCGAGAACGCTAACTCAGCAAGGCGATGGACGTAAAGCAGGGCGCGCAGGTCTTTATCGGGATGTTATATCCGTCCCACCAGCCGGCGGCTGCTGATGCCAACCGATAACCGCCAGAAAGGGTCAATAACCACCGGGTACAGCGACGCTGGAAAAGGTCAGGGCAGCAACAGCGTCGCGGCGGCGGAGAACTGAATGCGGCATGCGTGCAAGAGGCCTCGCCAAATGTCGCTGAAACTACCACGCCTCCAGCTACTCCATTGCATGTCGGCTGTTCTGCGAGCTTTCTCAAACCAGCTTTTCTCAACATCCTCCCCAACAGTGACTAGCATCAGGAAACGTGACTCGGGTGGGCCGCACTAGTCCCAGGAGCACCTGTGTCAGCCAGCCAGCTGTTTGTGCCGTGAGGCTGCGCCAGACAAAGCTAGCGGAGTGACTAATGACTGTTATTCGCCTGGCAGAGACGGGGCGCTTAACCCGGTATCATAGGCTGCTGTGAAAAATGCCGGCTATTGATTGGCCACTGCGAGGAACGTTGCCGCTGGTGATTGGATGACGCGGCTCATCAGGACCAATACTAATGAGGACGGCGGCTCGCAGCGTTTTTACCAGGACAAAGGTAATCTCTCACAAGGCTCGAAAAGCGTCTAGTCAGTTCGCAGTAGTTTGCTGCAAGTGGCACTGCATCGGCGGCATCAAATGCATGCAATGCACATGCATCCCACCGTCCCGCCACCTCCGGGCGGCACAGGTGGGTCAGAACACGCCCGTGAGCGGCCAGAGAGCTGCACCGCCGTCTCCTAGAACCACACCTTCGCCCCGCCCCACATGTGGCTGGTGATTCGGTGGGAACAGCCGTGCGGAGCCAAACACTTGGCCAGCCGGCTGTCTGCCCGCAAGCCAAGAGCCTGCCGCGGTTCTTTTTGCAGCCACCGTACCAAGTTCACCGTTGGTACGGTGGACTTGGTACGGTGTCCAAGTTCACCGTTGGTACGGTGGTACCATCGTTGCTACCAAGTTCACCGTTGGTACGGTGGACTTGGTCCACTATACCAACGGCGGGCTTGGTCCACGGTACAAGTCCACCCCAACAGCAGTTAGAATTGCGCTAAGCTGTACGCTCTCTGGCATGGTGTCCTGCTCACCGGACAGTCTCGGACATCGCCCATGCCGCCGGCCTTCTTCAGAAGCTTCCCGAAGTCGACGCTAGGCGTCTCTCCGTTCGCAACGCCCTCGGACGACGTCATCTCGCCGATCTGTGACGTCAGAGCTGACGCGCTGACGTAATGCACCATCTGTAAAGCGTTGAATGTCAGCAGGTCAGTATCAGTGCAAAGGAACTCAGAGTACGAACGTGCAGCAACACAGTGCATGGTTCGCCAATGGCCACTTACACTGGACTAGAACACTATACTACACTGGACTAAAACACTATACTACACTGGACTAGAACACTATACTACACTGGGTAGAACACTATACTACACTGGACTAAAACACTGGACACAGGACTAGAACCCGCGTGCATACCGATCCCCTTCCTTGCACATACCCCGACCACCACCCTTCCCCCCCCCCCCCTGCGACGCCTCAGCGCCCGCCAGCTGACGCCTACCCCGACCCGACCTGACCCACGTGACCCGCGTGACCTGACCTGTGTGCCCCGCGTGACCAGACCTGTGTGACCCGCGTGACCTGACCTGCGTGAAGGAGAGCGGCTCGGAGGTGGCGCCGCATGCGTTACACACGCTCTGCTCCACCAGCGTCATGGCGAACCGCTGGTGCGGGATGCAGTGGCGCACCGAGCACGTGTCCTCCGACACGTGCTGCGTGGCCAGGTGCACGTGCAGCCGCTGCAGGATGTTCTCCTGAAAGAGAGCAGCGCCGCCGGTCAGTTGGCCTCCGGACGGGACGTCAGTTGGGAGCCGGCGAGCGGACCATGGGCGTAGGGACATCCTGTTGGTGTGCACAAGGGCGCCAACGACTGTGCCTATCCCAAACCTTTCCACACTACGCCACAGGGTTAATGTTGTGCTTTTGAGCCATTCGATGGCGGAGAAAGCCTGGAAAAGCTGCGACGTGTTTTGGACAGGAGTGCCAACGTTAAAGGCCTCCCAGCGACCTGGCGGCGGGCTGAAGCCGGCAACCAAATCACAGCCACCACCTCAGCGCGGGGAAATTCCACCCGACGTCAGCTAAGTAAGGCAGTGCAGTTACGCATTCCAGAGCACGTAGGCTCCGCCACGCGCGTCACTCGGGGCTAATTGAGATGGAGTCTGGCGGGCCACATAGAACTGCTAACGGGTCGACTGCAACGAGAGCACTTGCGAAGTTTCCTCACGGACCCTGCAGCCACCTCGCAGTCCGTAAGACTGCCGGGACCGGTTTCATCTGAGGCTGATTTGTTTTCGGCGTGCGGCTGGCATATTAACGGTGCATCTGACCTCGCACGACGGATTAGCAGCGCCGTCTAACGACGCAGCAGAATTAACGACAAACCTGCCGCTAGATGGGTCTGGGGTCTGCACTTGCTGCAGTTAGACGTGGCCGCCCGTTGGGTGCCTCTTGTCACAGACATCGACCACCCTACAGCTGCAGCCCGCTCCTGTGAGTTCTCGTGACAGGGCGAAGCGCTGCAGCTTTACTCCTCTCTCTTTTCCCTTCCCCTCCCTCTCTCTCTCCTCTCTCCTCCCTCCTCTCTCTCTCTTTCTCTCCCGCCTTCGGCTCACTGGGAGGTTCTCAAAAGTCGGAGCACGTGGCAGCGCAGCCTTTCGTCTTGGCGACCCCAATGTAACCAGGTCAAGCACGCTGACACTGCGGCGATCCTGCCGAGGCCGTACACAAGCAAGAAGAGACGGACAGCCGAGAAATAGAGGACAGCAATGGTTCTTTACCGGCTCTAGACAACTTTGCCGCAAATTCTAAACAGGAAAATTTGCAAAGCACGAATGTATGCGTGGTTCGTTTGCCTATGTAGCTAGAATAAAAACTCGACGAATGTCTAGCACTCAGATAGGTGTGCTTTTTTAAGCTTGGCCATAAAAATACTTGCTGCTGCAATTTCCAGTCATGACAGTTCTGCAGAGTTCTTTTTCGGTCTACACCCGTGCGGTGTAACAACAGCTTCACCAGCAGCGGCAACCTTGACCGACGCTGAGGCCCTGTTTGCCCTGCGCTGCGTCCTCGTCGGTCCAGTCCACTCTACCTGCAGAGGGGTGTCGCGTTCGCCGCCGGTCGTCGGCCGTGGCCCCGCACTGATGAGGCCGGACCGGACCGTGCACGTTATCAAAGTCGAGCCGCTCCGGCCAGAGTCGAGCCGGTCACGCCGGTCCTGGCGGCGGCCTGAGAGGCCGACTTGGACACGGACGGTGATCGGTCAGCCGAGTGTTGCCCGAGAAGGGAGGGCTGCGCTTTACGGTGCCGTTTTTGCCGGCCCTGTCTCTTTCATAACATGATTGTCTCCTTACACTAGACTTCGCCGTTATGAAGCGTAAAGTTTTATCAAAAACTGACCCGCTACTTCCTTTGTGGATATTCTTACATTCCCGCTGCTACCAACAAGCGTCTGGGTAGCCGCAACCCAATTACGGCGAAGATGAAAGCTTTCAGGCTCTGTGCACGGCGGACTTTCCAGCTCATTGCACAACCACCGTGAGTGACCACAACGCCGATGATCAATCAGTCGCACGCGCCGATCGATGTCATGAAACCATGCCTCGCTGAACCGACCCAGACAACCATCAGTTGTTTCCCAACGAATACATCTATCCCGAGACACCACCTGCCTGCCAACTGTTTCGCGAGCCCCCGGTGCCTCGCAACTGTTTCACTTCTGGCGAGCCGCCAGTGCCTCCCAACTCTTTCGCGTCCGGCGAGCCACCGTTGCTTCCCAACTGTTTCGCACCTGGCAAGTCACAGTTGTCTCCCCAAGTGTTTTGCGTCTGCCGAGCGACCAGTGCTTCCCCAGCTGCCTCGCGTCTGGCGAGCCACCGATGCCCGCCAAGTGCCATAACATCCCTAGGCTAAGCCACACTGGCGCGCCTCCACCACCGTCAGCCCGGCGAGACACCTGAGGCAGCGCTGCCTGAGCGCCGACGCCAGCGGGCGCGCGCCTCGCGGAAGATAACGGCGACGCGGGCTCTGTCAGCCCTGCAGAGGGTGGCACGTGCAGGCGCCGCGAGGCGGCGGACCACGGACCGGCCGCCGCTGCACGGCTTGCGGGGGTGCAGAGGAGCCGGCGGATGGCGACAGCCGAGACCGCTGCCAGGGTACGAGCGGCTCCTGTCCGACACTTCTGTACTCCCGCCCCTCGTGCTGCGCTTCTGTACCGTACTCTTTGTGGAATGAGTAGAAAATGCGAGTAAAAAATGTAAACGTTAGGTGAATGTGATATGACCGCGTAAAAAGCAAAATGCCCTTACGGAGAGCGACCGAAATCGAGTAGCGCAAATATTTCCTGGTTCCTCTCCTGTCGAAACCGAACCTAGAGTCACTATGTGTTTTGCGACCACCCTAATGTGCGTTCCCTCTACGTCCGAGACGTTGTCACCTCGTGTTGATGACGTCAGACTTACGAAACACTCAGCCGCATCGTCCATGCAGCCCAGCTGGAAGCGCTGCTGGTCAAAGAAGCTCTCGGCGAGCGCGCGGCGCAGCGCGTCCGGGTGCAGCACCGACTTGTCGCTGTGCTGGAACTGCTGGAACAGCTCCTGGAACGAGACGGAGCGGCGGCTGTCAGGCGGCTGTTCCTCACTGCAGTCCATGTCACGGGAGCGAGCAGCACCTTGTGATCAAGCTAGAAGCCCGAAGGCAAAGAAAAGGCTAGAAAACAAACAACGTCGCGTAGTAAACGCCATGCACTCATCGCCAAACACTGGAGAATCCGGGTTTGCAGGAACGTCGCAGCAGTTTGTTCCAGCACCGCCCGAGCGTTGAGATGCAGCCATGGATGGAATACATGTAACGGTGCCACGGGCTGATCGGAGCGGACCTGCAAAAACCGGACAAGAAGCTGCGACCGCTCGGCGCCGAAGGGCCGCCGGAATGGCAATGCCTCGAGTCCACGCCTCCCCGACACCCTTCCACTACCCCTTGGCCTCATATTGGCCCCGTGTTTTGTGGACCCACCCACGAGATGGACGTTGCCAGCGAGGAGCCGGTGGGAGGACCGATTGAGTATGCAGGTCTCTGAAGGTGAGTTGTGGTTTCAACTGAAACAGCCACCTACTCCCAGCGCACTGTTGCTCACATGCTATACGAAGGACAGACGGCAATCACCATCACGTGAAGAACTTTCACTACGACCAAGCGCAACCCAGCTGTCTCGTAGCCTTCTGTGCACCTCCTCAGCTGCACAGTCGGGCCGGACTAGACACCGGCAGACCAAGGAAATATCCCAACACTGCGGCAGTGCGCGCGCGGGGCATTCCGCGCCATATCGGCCTCATCTGCGTCGGCATTGTCTAGGCACCGAAACGCGCGCGGTGCGCAGCCAGGTGACCTATTTCGCTGTCTGTCGAGGGGTGGTCTGAATGGACCCGAGCGAGACGACGATCTGGTTTTGGTGGCCGATCCTGGAGCACACGCGCGTGACGGCACGGGACGTTCCGCGCTCAGGTCTGAGACGTCAGGTGGAGGAACATACAGAGTCGTCAGGTGGCGGAGCAAGCACGGTCGTCAGGTGCAGGAACAAGAACCTGACCTGTTCCAGGTCAGGTGTGGGGACGGGGAGAACCCAAACGGAAGGATGCAGGCCTCTCACGTGGGGGAGCAAAGAACCGCCAGGTGCAGGTGCAACAGACTGCAAGCGATGTCAAACCCCATTTGCGCAAATTGCGCCTCGAACAAATTAAACAAAAAATAAAATAAAAAATAAACTCTTTCAATCGTCATACCAATACCGCGCGTGCCATAGCAAAACCCGGCTGTCACCACGCGCCACGATCGTGTCTAGCCCGCCGCGAGCGCGGTCTCTCACCTCGTGCGGATCTTCCGCTCCTCCCGCCCTCCTGGTGGGCCGCCGACATCAAAGGCTGCCACAGCCCGGGCCCGAGCATTAATTCAATCCAAGTATGATTAATTCTCGACCTCTACGAACACGGTGATTATGCCCGGCCGTGTTTGTTTACTGCCGCCGCGGCCAGGTGGCGGTGCGCGCAGCCGCGTGCGCCTCCAGGAGGGACCCCACGCAGACCCGGCTGCCTCCCGGGGCTGGCGGGCCATGATGACTTGTTCCGAGCTGGTGGCGGTGACACGAGGTAACCGGAACAAAACACTAGACCGCAGTCGCCCGGAGATATCCCGGCACGTGCAATATGACGTTGCTATGATGGAGTGCCAGAGGACAAGGCAGGAGGCCGTGCGCGGCGCCGGCACAGGCAGCCGCATCACGTCTTCCAGCGCCGCACGTCCATGCCACGTCCATGCCATGCCACGTCCATCATTCCGCACGTCCATCATTCAGCACGTCCAACAAAGCACGTCCATGCCAGCAGCATGGACGTGCGTGCCAAAGAAGCAAGTCCATGCCACCCAACGCCCGGAACCGGCTCCGGCAGAACCAGCAGCCAATCTTAACAACCGGACAACGGCGGTCAGGGCCGGCGCAGCAGCCGCGCGGGGCTCGGCGTCCTCCATGCCTTCCCCCTGCGTGCCTGGGATCAAGCTCTCCCGGCTCGGTGGCCGCCGGCGGCGGATGCTGGCTTGGTTCGGGAATCGATTGGACGCGGCCAAGATTTGTTTACGGGCGGGCTGCCTGCCGGCGCCGGCGGCCACAGTCGGCTGACCTCAATCACGGGTCGGGAGTAGGCCGGCCGGGCGCCGACCCGACCCGGCCGGGCCAGGCGCGGCGGAGAGAGGGAGGGGCGAGCAGAGGGCACCAGTCAGAAACAGAGCGGGTGAGGAAGATGAGAGAGAGGAAATGGAAGTGGAGTAGAGAGATGAAGAATTGTTAAGTTGGATTGGGTAGTGGGAGAAAGATAAAATAGGGTGAGAGGAAGTGTTAGAGGGAGAGAAAATCAGATAGGTAGAAGGATAGACAGTGAGAGCGAGAGCGAGAGAGAGAGAAGAGAGAGAGAGAGAGAGAGAGAGAGAGAGAGAGAGAGAGAGAGAGAGAGAGAGAGAGAGAGAGAGAGAGAGAGAGAGAGAGAGAGAGAGAGAGAGAGAGAGGAGAGGAGAGAGAGAGAGAGAGAGAGGAGAGAGAGAGAGGAGAGGAGAGATGAAGAGAGTGAGAGAGAGAGAGGAGAGAGAGAGAGAGAGAAGAGAGAGAGCGATGAGAGAGAGAGAGAGAGAGAGAGAGGGGGAGAGAGAGAGAGAGAGAGAGAGAGAGAGAGAGAGAGAGAGAGAGAGAGAGCGAGAGAGAGAGAGAGAGAGAGAGAGAGAGAGCGAGCGAGAGAGAGAGGAGAGAGAGAGAGAGAGAGGAGAGAGAGAGAGAGAGGAGAGGGGGGAAATGAGAGAGAGAAAACTTCAGGGGAGGGAATATTACTGCATAGGGAACGACAGGAGGCAGATGATAGCAATCAAAGCGGGAGAAGGTAGCCGGCTACATGTCCGGAGAAAGTCGGCACAAAAAGTGACAGATGTACGCCAGGCGACCCTGTACGAAATGCGCTCTGTCCAGCCCTCTCACCCGAACCCCAAGCGCCGAGAGTAACAGACCACAACGTCACTTCCGGGACGTCAGTGACGTCAAGTGACGTCACTTCCCTCATCGATCTGCGCGTCCCATTCGGCGTCCGACGTGACCGTAACGCGCGCGACGAGCTCGCGCGATTCAGGCGCGCCGTGACGCCGCGCTTCGCAGCCCTTTCACGAGCCTCTTCCCGAACCGCCGTCACTCCGTTACCGCCCGGCCCCAACACGAGCACCCATCGTGTCGCCCTCCCCGCCGGCTTCGGGCCTTTCAGAGGGTCCGGTGACCCGTGCACGAGGGACGCGCTGGGGCGCTTCCTGGCCGATGCTGCATTGTGCCTCAGTCGACGCACCACACACGGCTCGCCTTTTTACCGGCTCCACTTAGCCACGGCTGGATTCGCCGATATTTCCTGTCATTCGACAGCGACAAAGGCTATTCTGCGTGTTGTCCCCGTTTTCTACCGCGCTGCCAGGGGCGGAGCGAGGGTAGGAAACGGGGAGTGTGGGGGGGGGGGGGAGTGGCAGGCTGGTGATATCCAGAACAGGGCGAGCGTTCTTGAATGTGTGTTGCTTTTCAGGCGAGCGCTGGAGATCAATCAGGCCGCACCGCAAGTGCCTTGTTCAGATTGATATTGACCTGCCTCCGCCCCTGGCCCCGTTTCTCAGCGTACAGACAGACAGGGAGTCCCGCTTCGGGCCAGGTGATGATCAGGAGACGCTCGTCGGCACAAACACGTCACGTCCTGGGACCATTCCTAGTTTAGTCGACGGTGTTGGGATGAGTGGAAGCGCACCCATGAGTGTAGTAGAGTAGCCCTCTGTCCTCATTCCAGATGTTTGGTTAGGTGGCTCATGGCACCTGACAGCCACAGCCGGGAGATTCTTCCCCAATTTGTCTCCGTAGTGATTCCAGGTTCCAACGGGACCCGGCTCCGCTGAGCCCCGGAGCCGGGGCCGCCCAGCAATTCAGCACCGTCGACCCAGCAATTCAGCTCAGACGACCGCAGACATTTCTGGCGACAGGAGCGCGCCGATCACATGCCAGAGCCCTCCGTCGTCTCATCAAAGTCCCATCAGTGCCACCGTGGCCAAGTTTCAAGGTGCTCCAGAATGCGAAATGGCGTACCGATCCGGTGTTTACTCTGCGTTTTTGACGGCGAAACCAGGTTACCGCATAACTCGGAGCAATTTTGTGGTAATGCGGGTGAAGAAACAGGGATTCTAAGAATTCACGCGGGACCTCGACGAGGCGCTGCATGCTCGGACTTCCAAATTGAATGTCAAACTGTGGGCTGGGTTACGCTGTAAACCATCTCGAGACAGCCGTAAAATGACCACGGTGCTTCATAAATTCTACAAATAGATTACAGAAGCTGGAATGCTCGATCAGACGAAGCCGCACCATCAAATGGCTCGTTACCGCAGACCATTTTTCAAAAGTTTTGTTCCACCATCACCGGGCACTCCGATCTTCCGCATATTTCAGTCTCATAAAGCAGGAACGCCGTAAATATGTATCGCCCGAGAACTGATACGCGCCGGAAGCAGCGGCTTCCAAAACGGACTGATGACTTAGAGCGGTAGAAATTTTACGCTATGCGATGTGTCCGAGCATTTCCCCAAGCCGAATTTACGCAGAAACACAGAGCGCTTCAAGCGTGGAGGAGCTGGAGCAGCATCGGTGCGAGTGCCGTCTCTGGCGACAGCCAGCCTCCCTGGCGACCAACGTTCTCCAGCGAAGCAAACAACCCATCCCACAGCCTCGCCACTTAGAGCGATACGCATCTTAACCGCGCACAATAAATACGCTGCGTCGGGTGCGCTTTTTAGTCAGCTCGCTCACCAATCGGGTCGGAGCCGAAACATCACCATACAAATGTGCTGCCCCGTCCAGACGCCCGCGCCGGTACTATGCGTAACGGTACAGCGGCACCGGGCCCTAAAACAAACAAATCCTACCATCTGAGACCCCGCCAGACAGAGCGATCCGTTCTCGGTCGGATCTCTGAAGATCTCGGCGCACCTCGCTTTGTGCCGAAGACGCGCGTGCGCGTTCGCAGTTTTCGTCCAGCGATCA